TATGTATACTATGCAGCCCTGATATTAATAATAAAAACATTCTTGACCAGAGGTTCCACTTAAATGCTCAGGACCTAGCACAAGAAAAACTAGCCTGACAACATGCTCATGTTCTAGGAAAAGTTGTTCCTCCCATAATGCTTTGAAATGCTCTGGGCAAACATCCTCAGGTTGCACAGAACAAAGCGCTGCTCTCAAGTGACAGAACACTACACTGTTATTTTCCATGCTCGTGTCAGTACAAACAGAGACAACCAAACAACCTGCAGAACACTCACCCCAAACAATTCATCTCTGTTTAATGGCCTTTTGATGTTTTTTATCTTGAGTATTAAAAGTAGATTGATTTAATCATTAATTTACGCATGTAAATATTTCATATTTTAAAGCTTCCGTGAAATTAAATTATGCTTTTTAGATGTAAGTATCAGTATGTTTGTTGTAAAGATATCTATAAGATACTGTGTGCCAAAACAGCGACAAAATGCACATTTAGAATATAAAAACATGAAAAGCTTGCAGTTTGTCACTTCCACCTAATTGGATCAATAGCTGCGTCCCAAATCGCATACTTATGCACGATTCTACACCATTTTGTAGTATAAATAGTGTAAGTAGTGTGTTCACACAGAAAACTCTAAAAATAATAAGTGCACTTTAATTGCCCGGATGATGCACTCATTCAGTCGCTAAAATGAAGTGTGTAATGATGGACACTTCACGCACACAACGACCACAAGTTTGCTTACGTAGCGGAAAGGGTGGAGCTATCGGACGCACATGTTGAATAACTTTATTTATTTTGGATGGTGAAAGCAAAATGCGGCAATACTCACGGCAGGTATTATCTGATAATTCGGTCGTTTACTTCACTGATTTGGCAACCGTCAAAGGTCATCAGGGAAACGGTTTGAATTTCCGCTTAGTAAAAACACATTAGTGTGCCATTTGGGACGACACTACATACATTTACTATCCTGTTGAGTGTGTAAGTGCATAAATACATAGTGCATGAGTGCATAGTGTGCCATTTGGGACGCAGCTAATGACTTTTTCAATGTCCTCATACTCCAGTTTCTCATCAAATCTTGACCAATCAAATGCTTTCTAGTATCTGACATGCTCCGCCCCCTGCAAGTTGCTTTTCATTTTATTCGCTTGATTACATAGTAAGCCAAATAAATGCACAATAACATTTTATAATATGGGTAGTTGGTTCCAGATGCTGATTGATCAACATTCAAAACTCACAATTCAGTAGCAGCTATGGCTTCAAACAGCAGTTTATCATTTGCGCCTACATGATCAACACCATTAGATAACAAACACAAACCAATATTTACAGGTCAGAGACCTTCTAGTTGGCACTTAACAAATTGGCCTAAAAATAGTAGAGGCGTAACACTACAGAGGATTTAGGTTAAATAGTGAAACATTAACACTAAACAGTGAGTGGTATGGGAATAGCACTAGCACCAATCGCAAAGGCCTACATAGGATTGTGCGAACTGCTGGACGTGTAGTAGGAGGTGAGCTTCCCTCCCTCCTTCCAAGACATCTACACCAGGCAGTGCATGAGGAAAGCCAAGAGAACTATCAGCGACTCCAGCAACCCAAGCCATAGACTTTTCTCTCTGCTACCCTCAGGCAGACGGTTCCGCAGCATCCAGTCACGCACCAGCCGACTGAAGGAAAGTTTCTTCCCTCAGACTGATCAGGCTGATGAACACTTAACACACCTCACACAGACTCTTCCATACCCCTCACTGCACACCATCAATACGGAGCATGCACTGCACTTTAACCAATCCATACTTGAAACAATACTGGCTAGAACTATGTGGACACCTATTCATTGTACATATTGCTGTCATTTTCACATTGTCATTTTATTTGCACTGTCTGTATTTTGCACTGTCTGGAGCTAGCACTCCTAAGCTTTTCACTCATCATAGATTTTTTTACTAGGAGAAAGGGTTTGTTCTTACAAAGGTTTTGAGTAACTATAAAGTTTGAGGTGCTCTAGCAATTACGTAGCATACTAATTGCAATCAATTATGTAAAGCCTAAATTATTTTATTTATTTCCTTAATTTAGCCAGGAGATCACATTGAGACAGTACGGTCTCTTCTTCCAGTGAGACCTGGTCAAGATGGCAGGCAGCACATAAAGTTTCATATAAAACTCACAAACAATACCACAAAATTACAAAATCACCATTCTTAAAAACATCAGGTCATAAAAAACAATTACAGGTGTCCTTTAAGATGTTGTATAAAAGATGTTTACATTTACATTTAGTCATTTAGCAGACGCTTTTCTCCAAAGCGACTTACAAATGAGGACAAGGAAGCAATTTACACAACTATAAGAGCAACAATGAATAAGTGCTATAGGCAAGTTTCAGGTCTGTGAAGTCTAAGAAGGAAAGTATTAGTAATATTAGTATTTATTTTTTTTGGTACAGTTAGTGTGATATTCAGAGAGGTTTAAAAGTACTCAGAGTCGGAAGAGTGTCAAGATTGAGCTGATTTTGCAGGTCATTCCAAGCCCTGGGAGCGTAAACGGAAAAAGCACTTTTGCCAAGTTCTGATAGTACCCTTGGAACTATTAGACGAATACATGAACCAGATCTAGTGTGTTGGTTGTTGGTGTGAAATGTTAATAAATTAAAGATATAGGATGGTAATTTACCTAAAAGAGCCTTTAAAATAAATAAGTACTGATGTAATTTTCTTCTCTGATATAAAGATAACCAGTCTAAGGAATCATACAAAATACAGTGATGCGTCCGTGAGTCTGCACCTGTGACAAAGCGTATTGATGCATGATAAACAGAATCTAATTTTCTTAGTAGGGTAGCGGCTGCGTGCATATAAAGATGATCACCATAATCCATTATAGACAGAAATGTACTCTCTACTAATTTTTTGCGGGCTTTATAAGGAAAACAATTTCTTGACCGGTATAAAAAACCTAACTTTGGCTTAAGCTTTTAGAATACATTTAATGAATTGTGATTGTCAAACTGTACTCTATTTTACAATAGGCATTTAACTAAAAAAAGAACACAAAACCTTATTCAAATATAACAGAAAACGCATTTTAATAAATAACATGTTAGAAATAACAATTCCATATTTACTGAAAGCCATTAATTATAAAGACTTTGGTCCCACTTTATATTAAGTGGCCTTAAATATATGTACTTATACAGGAATTAATAGTTTGTTACAATGTACTTATTGTGTAAATACATGTATTTACTGTGTACTTATGCTTGATTAAATACATTTAAGTAATTACAACTGTAATTAACTTTTGTAATTACATTTGTAAATACACTGTTGACCATCCCTTACACCTTAACCCACCCTTAAACCTACCCATGCCACCAAACCTGTCCATAACCCAACCTCTATCCCAACTCAAAAGCACCACAAGTGTTCTCAAAAACATTATAAACAAAGTACATTATATATATTTTTTGACGTAAGTACATAGTAGTTAAGGACACTTAATATAAAGTGGGACCAAGACTTTAATCATTGGCTGATACATTTTTAATAAGTTATCATATATTAGTTAACATTGGCTACAGTGAAAAAACTAACAACAAACAATTAACAATTGTTAACTTTATTATCTATATAATAAACTTATATATATACTATATAATATAACTTATATATATATATATATATATATATATATATATATATATATATATATATATATATATATATATATATATATATATATATATATATATATATATATATATATATATATATATATATATATATATATATATATATATATATATATATATATATATATATATATATATATATATATATATATATATATATATATATATATATATATATATATATAT